GGGGGGGGGTCAAACACATGGGAGAAGAGAGTACTCTAAATATGCAAGATTTCGGCTAATTCGCGGCAACTGTTTTGTCAGAGCGAATTGCAGACCCAACTTATATAGGAAACTATCAATCAATCATGGGATACCTTAAGCTGATCACGCTACTGTACGCCTGCCTAATGGTAATAACTGCTGTTGACAACAAAGCATGCAGAAAGTCGTCCTATTATCATCGACATCCGGGTATCCAGCTTCAAGGTCACGTGATCAAAAAGATAATGACATCACACTTGGAAAATTGTGTTATTGAATGCAGTAAAACACAGGGATGCTTATCGATTAATTCTTACAACGCTGCAAACGCGATATACTGTGAGCTTAACAAGTCAAACCGGTATGGCAGCCAGGCAAACCTGATTAAAACCAGCTTTGGGTGGGATTACTTGGAAATGGTAAGTTCAAGCTGCATTTGTGTAGCTACGCATATACCAATCAGCGAACTCAACATGAGTATAAGAGTTATTGATCGTTTTCATTCACACGAGATTCCAAATATAAAAGAAAGGCGGCCATGTTGGAGGAATGAACAATAGATACTGATGATAAATCCTTCGTTGAAGTTCCTCCAAGATGGCCGCTTTGATGCAACAGATATAACTTGAAAACGAAGAATTGTTGCAGTCAAGTTCACATTCATGAGCTATACTTTTTTGAAACGAGTCAAAAGTCAAAAGCGTATATCGAGCTATCTTGTACCAATAAGCTTCAGGAGAATTTAAGTTGACGTGGGTGACAAGGGTGTAGTATGTATTCTGGCTTTCACTAGGAAATAGGCATAAGCCGAGAACGAAAGAAAACACAAAGGAATAAAATCAAGTGTGCTGCATAAAACATCAACATAAACATAGCAATAAGCATAAGACAAAGCATATAAGCTAATTTAAGGCAAACTAAAAAAAACAACTTCTTAATCCCTGCCAAGTACGAGGCATAAAATATCAACATAAGCATAGACAAAGATTAAGCTAATTTAAGGAAAACTAAAAACAACTCCTTCATCCCTGCTAATCCCAAAAGCTATTATTTTTCACACCTTATGCTTATAATGCAGCGAAAACCAGCTTTTAGTCTCGGCTAAACCGGTTGGATCCAGTTGTCAACAACCAGTGATGATCCCGTACCCTGCTTTGGATGACAGGATACAACGGGAACCTCAACGGCCTATATCAGTTGTAAAATCCATCTTTATATTTTCAGGAAAATTTTTTGAAAAATTTCTGAAAATCGCCGTAAAAAACAATAATCCCCAGTATGGCGAATAGCGAGTTTTGTTTGGGATGCGTTTTGATTTTTTTCTTTACTCCAGGTCTTCAACCCTGATTTGCCCGATGCTTGCCTTCAAAAAGGTAAGTTTAGACTGGCTATCTCTTCATTCTAAAATAAGGTACAATTACAATTCTTTCGGAAAGAATTGATGTGAGCAGAAGAAATTAATTTACATGGTAATAATAGCACTCCCATCCGCTCTTGCTAGACTATATAGAGATATGTTCTTTTATATCTTAAGATGGTTGGTATCGAAGCAAGACTGCCGCCTATAAGTTTATTAACAAGCCTACAGACGCTCTAGAAGCTCGACAGCGTTGTCAAAACATGTCGGCAGCCGCAGATCTGGTTTCTTTTGTCGACAAAGAGGAGGAGGAGATTTTTGAACAGTATCTTGAAGGTAAGCAATCATGGAACTTTTTATCGATTATTTCTCTTGAAGCAGCGTTGGAATTCATATATACACCTATTTCAAAAAACTTTGTCGTCGTCAGTCACACAGTCCACAGTCTTGAGCCTGCAAAGAATCTTGGGATTTTCATAATAATATATATTCACTTTCAGTTATTCTAAATTATCGGTCTTGTAGCGAATATTTTGAAAACGTGCAGGAACATTTCTCAAGGAGAATGTCTCATGGCGAGACTTGTTCGATGGGTTTGATACTCGCAATAGTATTAGTAGTGTTTGCCACCATTGAATTTAAGCTACATAGGCAAATATATTTTGAAAATATTAATTACGCATGGAAATCCCGAGATTCTTTGCTGGCTCAAGACAGTGGACTAATGTCCTGGTGACGACAACGTTTTTTGAAATAGGTATATATAGCCTCGGACCATGGAATGCACGACCGAAAGTTGTTATGGGTATTCAATTTTAATGAATAATGTTGACTGATGTGCTGCCTAAAGTCATGGGCCAAACCAAGCAAGCTATCATTGAAGATCTTTATTCGATGACAACGAAGTTTCGACTTCCTTTGATTTGTGAATATGTAATCAATAGTAAAAATCCATGATACCTTTCGGTCGTGTATTCGACTTTCTCTCCGACAACTTTTTTTTTTATTATCTATATTCATGTAATAGGTCACATGACGTTTGCCCTTTCATCTACGAAGAACAGAGAAAAAAAAACACTTCTTCACTTTCATTGTAGGTGTTGGTTTTAAAGAGTGGTTCTGGATTGGACTCAACGACCTTGCTGAAGAAGGAACCTTTGTTTGGTTTGATGGAACCAAATCTAAGTACACAAACTGGGGAAGGGAAGAACCAAACAATGGTCTTGGCGGCAATGAGCATTGCACAATCAAATTGCAAAGAAATGGATGGAATGATATCAAATGTTCTTCCCGATATCCATTTGCTTGCAAAACGCTATGCACCTAAACATTACACTTATTTTGTTATTAAGCTCGTCATAATACCTATATATTGGTTATACTAGTTAGCGTGTAAATAATCAAGTAATATACTTTGAGGGAAGGTTTTTGTAATGGTTTTTCAAGTACTTTTTTTTTAACTTGAGCATCTGGTTGGAATGACTGAAATTCCTCCTCTAATTCCTTGTTTAATAAAAACAATTATATTTGAATCGAAAAAAGATTATTTTGCACACAAAAAAAGATTCGATGCAATATACACCTACTTGCGAAAACGTTGTCATAAAAAAATAGGACATTTGTATTTTAGTAAAAAGAAATAAATTAAAAAGACAAAAAAAGATCACTGAGGCTGAACGCTTTCTTTTGTTTTGTTTTAATTTATTCCTTTTTGCTAAATTCGAATGTTCTATTTTCTATGACAACGTTTCTGCAAGTAGGTGTATATACACATATATATGTAATAGTTTATGGTCTCCTGTCTACACTAGTAGATATGAGTGATCATTTAATTATGATCATATCTATAATGTTCCCTTTTAGTGATAGTTTGTAGAAGTTATCAGCAGTAAGTTGCTGATCTTAAGTTGTACTTTCTGTTCAAGGGTTTCGTACAGTCTTCCAATGGTATGACGCTAAATGTTTGGTCCTAAGTCCGTTTGCTTGTTAAGTGTTATGCTCTTAAATAGCACACTTATTTCAACTGTGCCAATCCAGATTAAAGAGATTTTAAACTATGAAGTCTTTAAGCTTTAGAAATTTAAACCCAGAAGGCGTAATGGGATATACTTGCATCTTCATGCGTTTTGCTCGCTACTAAATCACTTAAATCTACTATCAAACGCTTGAAAAGATAACACTGGTATGGACTGCTCTCATACTCAAGTAGTTAAATGTAGCAGGCATAGACGACCGCGGAGCATGGGGAGCTGCGGGTCTACAGCATATAGTCTTACTTAATACGCTTTTTAGAGGAAAAAACTTTTTCAAATTTACAACTTTCATTATAAAGGACAAAACGTCGCACTCTCCAAGAGCACTGATCAATAAAAGTTTCTGTTCCACAACGATCTTGTCGTAAAAGCTATATGCCCAACAGGAAGCGTCGAATAAATCTTGCACTAATCATCTGTATAAAAACTTAGCTGACTTAACTAAAATCATTTTATTATGGTGCAGGCTGCAAAATCGACTCATTTATAAATTCATTTTTATTCGTATCACTGTAGACAGTCTGTCGTACGCGTATGAACAAAGTTTCGCTGCAAACGAAAAAAATTTTTAGCTGCAAGCAATTATTGAATAAACACTCCGATAAGATAGATTTGTTATGAGTACACATTTCTCACCATTAAACTTTATTTGTCATAACAAATCATGTCTACAAGATGATTAACACCGAAGTTGTTTACACATCATGTTATGTGGCCGCGAAGAAGGATTGAATTGACAAACCATCATGCAAGTATAGTATTTTCTTGCAAAGATTACTAAAATTCCTGTTTATTATTCGCTTCTTTTGTCGAGCAGTGAGAGTGTAATATTATAAAACATTAATCTTGGCATGTTATTTACGTTAAAAACTTGAAAACGATCCTTTTCGTTTTTGTTAAGAGATCGTGTAGTAAGGGAAAAGGATCTTGTGTTATGGACAGGTACCCGTTGGAAGTTTAGTTACGAGAAAACGCACAATAAAAAAACAACACATTACATAAGGTTAATAGTTCAATCTTATTTAAACTGAAGTCAGTTAAAATCTAGAACTTCGCTTGGACATATTTTCAAAATACTTGTCAAAATGTGTTTGACAATGACTTGTAAGGCATTCCCCCTATCGATGTCATTGTTAACGAAATCAAGCTGAATTCATAATTTATGAAGTCAAGTTCTACCACAAACGCATGTTTTGCCGTTGAATGTGGTTCAACAACTTTACCACCGCAATGAAGAACCACTGTCTATTTTTCTCATGCGTGACGGTTTGACATTATCGTACTCACCATGCATCGGCATCAGTCCATCAACAATCTAGACTGTTGGCTAAATGTAGTAAATTCAGGGTTGGTAGGCATGTCTCCCCTGATGGACAAACACCTATCCAGCGCTATTCGTCGACCTTTCATGAATCAAAACGATAGGCGAATCATTATTAACGTCAGCGGAAGAAAGTTTGAAACTTGGGAAAAGACTTTGCAGAAGTATCCAGAGACGCTCCTAGGAAGTTTAGACATTGGCTCGTACTTTGATCGAGAAAAATGCGAGTACTTTTTTGACCGCGATCCGATTTTCTTTCGGCATGTCTTAAATTTCTATCGTAAGGGAAAGCTGCACTTTTCATTGGACGAGTGTGGTTACTCGTACAAAGACGAGCTCAAGTTTTTTCGCATTTCGCAAGACAATGTTGAGCTATGTTGCTACGAGGAAATGGACGACGCGTGCAAGTGGACTTCCGAAAGAGTGTCTAAAACTAAAGATAAATCCTGTGATTGTAGAGCAGCCCGGAAAAAACTCACTCTACGGCAGCGAACTTGGGATTTTTTTGAAAATCCCAACGATACTCAGATGGGAAAATTCATTTTTCTTATAATGCTCATTGCAATTGCCATAAGTATTATAACAACGGTTATGGAGACCTTGCCCTGTGATCTAAACTTAACATGTCTGCAAGTGTATCCGCGCGAGTACTTCTACATAGACGCAGTATGTGTCTTCATTTTCACTATCGAATATCTAGTCCGTTTCGCCGTGGCTCCACAACGGTGGCATTTCATGAAAAACTTTATGAGCATAATCGACGTAGTTTCCGTGGTTCCTTTTTACGTTAAAGTTTGCATGCAAAGCGCTGGGGCTCAAGGAGCTGAAAGTCTTGTAATATTAAAAGTACTGCGAGTTCTGAGAGTTGTGAAGATGGCGCGCCATTCGAAGAGATTGCAGACACTTGGTGGATCTATCAAGAACTCTTCATCAGAGCTCGGTTTTATATTGTTTTCTTTCACACTCGGTGTTATCATATTTGCTACGGTGATTTATTACTGCGAGAAGGACGAACCCAACACTAGCTTTCTTAGCATTCCCGATGGGATGTGGTATGCTATTGTTACTATGACAACACTAGGGTAAGTACACGGCCCCCTTAATTTCAACTCTAAATTCTAAAAAAAAATAATTCCTTCAAGATAAATAAGCTTATGTTTGGAACAGAACAGAAATGCTATAATTTGTTGTCAATAAAGCGCGCTGCCTAAGGGTAGACTCGCTACATATATCCGAGCACCTGCTGAATTTAAAGCAGTCCTCTTAACAAATGAGAATAGATTTTATATGAAAATTACACAGAAAAAATATCAATTCTTTTTAAACATTTGACACAGTTTTTCATTTTTGTGGTTCATTAGTGTTTTAATGCTAGATGTATCTATGCGTTCCGTGCTTCCCAAAGTCTATTCTCCGAGAGAACAAATAACATTTTCTATTCTCTTTTTTAATTAATAACGCCAAGAAAGATCCAGTTTCATTTAAAAATGCATAGAAACTTATTTTAGTATCGTTTCTCGWAATAAATTGTATTGATTTTTTTTACCGCAGCGGTTTGGCGGTAATTATAATGTGGTATGGTCGCTGTAGACTTAGACAGTTTATCTATAATCACATTTATACATTATTCAAAATCTGAAGCTGAATCAATCACTACCGTTGTATGAGACAAACCTCTTTCTATGAGACACCTTATTAAAGGTCGAAGGATGGGTGTCCTTATTAAAAAAGGTTGGCTTTATTACAAAAGATGTATGAAGTTTCAATTTTTCCGGGGGAACTTACGGGAATATGTCTATAAAACTCTATAAAACACACTCGGTGCATGTGTTTTCGTAGCGTACGAGGATTACAATTGCAAACGGCAGAAAAATGCAAGCTTGACCAGAGGCTCAAATTTATAACTCCAAMGTTTTCTACAATGATAGACTTTTGTTATGAATTACCAATGGCAAATACCAACGGAATGTCTGTTTTTCGCTCCAACAAAAGAAAAGAACTTTAATATTTAACGATTATAAACACTTTGAATGATTTTGATGACACTCCCAGGGTAGTCTCTCCATGACATGTGACTGTGAACACATCGAAGTCAATTAGGGATCATGACACAATGTCCCTGACTGGGAGTTCGCGAGCCACAGCTTGGAAAAGTTTAGCTKAAGAAACTATCAAAGAAATTCTTAGTTCTGCGGTCAATGCATCAACATACTAGTAGATTACTTACAAAGCAAATGAATTGCACAACAATGATCCTTGAGGAATAGAACTCCAGTGGCACAAATGCAAAATGCCTCGCTCTGAGTTCCATTTACTGTGACACTGCTTACTGCGATACTGAAGACGATGAMAGAGTTGGGGTTTGATCTAAACAATAATCAGATTTAGAAGTGTGATAGTAGGAGCCGATGGGTTCCTGGGAGAAATATATCTGTTCTTATGACCCAGCCAGCTGTAAGCAACAACTGGTTGGCAGCGAGAAATTCAGGAAAAAAGAACTCTCCAGGCAAGGAATACTTTCTAATAATTTTTGCCAGGAAAATAAAAATTTCCTAACTAAAAAAAATTATATTAAGTAAGCGTTATATAAGCCTTTTTTRGCATTAAAAACGTTTGCCAGGAACAAAATTATTTTAAAGAAGGAAGAGCGCCACATTTGCTTGTTGAGATTGTTAACGATTTAGCTCAAAATCTATTTCCCAGGAAAAAATTCGTACAAGAAACAAAACCCGTTGGCTCCTCTTGTTGAGTGTGACAAAACTAAGAGCTAAGAATGACCACATACACAACACAGTGCTTCAATAACACAATGCCACTGACTCACTGAGCAAAGTCTAAAAGGAAAAGCAAACAAATCACCAAACAAATCCGGGGATAAGGCAATGGAAGCAGATTTAGATCACGGGTTTTTGCCTTAAGGCCTTGAACGTGCCTTACAATCCTTTATAGATTCTAACCTAGCCTCCTCCCCAGGCAACTCTTTTTTCCTCCTTTGGGCTTCCTTTGTAAMGGTCATCKTGGAATCCCGTGAGTCTTTGTGATTCKYTGTGATGCCTGCGGAGGAGGCTAATTCTAACCGTAAGAATACACACTAAGTAAATGAGAGGAAAATGAAAGATCAAATGAGGTTATTGAAAAATTGAAAACATGAGAGAGAAATACAAAAAGAGATGTTGAGACAAACAGGGCTCAAAATRATGACCAGTCATATGCATGAAGAMCTTTCAGATTTTTGGCTATAATTAATGTAACTATTTCTAAAAGGTCTAATTATTGTTTTTCGGTTGAAAAACCGATATAGCAGAATCATTCTAAACACATCAAGCATTGACCATATGAAAAACGAGCAGAAGACTGGGAATGAGTACCTTAAACAATCCAGATTTTTAAAAATCTGTTTATACTATTAGAAACAGTATATCTAAACTAGTTAACTGGAGGAGTTTTATTTTCTAATGTTGAATATTAGCAGAGCTACGAGCATTTGAAACGTGCTAATTCGAAAAACGTGAAACCGAAGCTGCTAAGGCCTCAATGCTGATTTTCACTTAAACGTTTGTAATTTCAGCTGTAATTTCTGTCCCTTAAATGTGTGAGCAATGAAACGTTCAGATCTTACTCATTATATGTTCTTCAAACGAGTAGTAGGCTATATTGTACAACTCATAGCATATGGCCTTACGATAGCCACTCCCTTTTTCATATGGTCTATTGCCTATTCCCTTAAAAATAGAGGAGCTCAACTTATCATTTTAGTTTCTGATTGGGTAAGAAATTTAGCCCTTGAAATGCTATCAGTCCTGAACAAACCAGAATTAGTTKCAAATACTAATTCATAATCTTTTACAATAGGTATGGTGACATGACGCCTGAGACCACGGTGGGCCAGCTAATGGGAAGTATTTGTTGTGTTGTTGGGACATTAGTAATTGCTCTGCCTGTCCCAATCTTAGAAATGAAGATGAAACTAATAGGACAAAAGCAAGGACCAGATGATGAYAATGAGGATGGAAAAGACAGCCAGGGAGGGGAGGGACAGGATTCTACTTGTAATGAACAGAAATGCCCTTGTGATGCTTGAGTACAAATGAATACTGCGAACATTGCATATGATAACAAGTGTGAATAATGTTGGGAATAATGTTGGGTATTGCATGTCTTTAATGCAGAATAAAAAGAGGTAAAAAATGTGTACTGCTAGTATATGTACTGGCTGTTTCTAATATAATGCTAGCATAACATCAAATTATGTTTTCATAGTCTAACAATAAAACATSAAATATATTACAAATTATAATAACAATTAATAAAGTCAATGACCATATAATTACTAATCACAACATAGCTAGGCTGTACTCATATGCCCATTACAAAGTCTATACTCGAAATTAAAAATGTGAAAAATTATAATAATTATTGCTATCAACTACTGTCATACCTTAAGCTTAAAACATCAACTAAAAATTGGCCGACGTATAAATATTTTAAATCATTTCAAATTTCATCTCTCAGTCTAYGCGTGGCATCAAAAATATTAAGCTTATCCTTGGTGTGCAAGTGACGTCATCACCRCCATGTTGGATGAAAATCACAACGCATTCCTCATGAGTTTCTCTTGTTCATTCATCCAACATGGCGGCGATAGCTTTGTTCTATATTTCTCAGGGGATTCCTGGTCATGTGGTTGCACACCAAGAATAAGCTTCCATCAATGTGTTTAGAAATCGCTTTAAACTATAAATTTATACCGGTCTATACTAATACAAAATACACAAATACAAACAAAAAGAGTTTCAAAGCTCATAAATACCCATTAAAAAAGCAAAATATAGTTACCTTGCGTTTTCTAGTCGTCAAGTCCATGGCTGACTGTTGTCGCTCGCGGTCAAAACATTCGCTGAAGCTTGGCTTAATTTTCAGCACATTTTGTCCCCGTGTGGCAAAATTTCAGCACGTCTAAGTCCATTGTTAATTTCGAACTTGATTTCTATTCYATTTTCCTCAATATTTCGGATAATCTTTACGTGAAAAGTGCATTTTAGTAGATGACAAACAGCTCCGACTTCCACCATTTTGTTGACTTCGATTTTCCCGCCCTTGTGCTGTTGAATGCGCGCGCGTCCCGCTCTCGTCCAATAAGGATGAAGCACATGTAATCATCATGATGATTCTACCACAAATTTGCARGAATTTATTTTGAAATTGTACTAAATTTTAACGATATATTTAAATATTAAACATGCTTGCTTCCTTTACAGAAAGATTTATAATACATATTTTTTCATTCATTTTGACTATAAATTAAATTAACGTCCAGTTGTGCTGGATATTTCTGTTTAAACGTCGAAGTTTACAGTAAATCAGGATACAAGATCATGAAYCATTTTTCCACGTACGCAAATAATTGTGCATTATCCCAATACTTGCTCGCTGTTTGAACACAAACTAACATCGTTGTATAAAGAGCTATAACCAAAATTACATCAAATATGGTTAAAATATAATGAATTCAGTTCAAATTCCCGCAGCTAAGGCCGAATATTCTCGAAATAGCTTTAAAAACATTTTAGTCTTTGTTGATAAGGAGTAATTGCTGGCAATAATAGCGTCCATGCAAGAGTTAAGAGAGTCCATTCAAGCACTGTCCACGATCCACAAATTCGTTTCAAGTTTCCTAAAACCGTGAAACTGAAGTGCATTTTATAGTACGATTGTTTTTATACAATTCCATTGTCCAACTCTTGTATATATTCTTTTCAAGGGTTTTTGATGACTCGTGATATCTCTAAGAGTCTTGTCGTTTGCACAATATTCTACYAAAGTCAAAATTGAAGCGCTCTTTCTTTTCTGCCATTGCAAAAGATTGCAGATGCAAAACTCGTAAATATTCCAAACAATAACGMAATACTTGAGCCGGCACAAACCAGAGAGCCACGTCCTAATTTCGCCGYCATTTATACATTTCATGTATATTTAGATAAGTTATTTTCTTTTATAAATGACGTCAACTTGAATGTACGTGGTTCGAAGATGGCGAKGAGCTTCGATGATCGAAAAGTCTCTTATTTGATGAAGAAGTTCGTTTACTACTTGCAACACAAACAGCAACACAGTCACGAGGTTGGCTTAATGATGGGGCTTGGTGCCATTGGTTCGTCAGKGGGTCGTATCTGCAATGAACATAGCATGATGGTTAGTTTATATTCAAACCCTTCCATGCACTTGAAGATAAATATGGGTGGGTGGGGATGGAGGTGGGGGGTCTCATCTCCAATAAAAAAATTCAGGCAGAATGGTTCTTACACACGAGGTTTACTACATCTAGTTTTTCTTATTACCTTTCCACTGACTGCAAATACATCGTTCCATCATATCCACCCACTACATACAAGAACCCATCAAGTACACCCACACCACACCCACTACGGGGTGTACTCATGGGCGAGACGTCTARCCATTCATTCTTTGATGGGTCGTAGCGTTCCACAGTTTCATATCGTTTACCATGGTCGCAGCCACCAATAGCGTACATGTACCCTCCAAAGGCTGCCACGCCAACTTGTTTCCTAGAGATGACATTACAATACAACTTAGAAATTGAATATTATGAATCTATTAAGCGTATTGAGTCTTTAATAGCGTTATTATAAGCCGTCTGCTCCACTGGGAACCAAGAGGGCCTAAGCAAGAAACGAGGCAAATCAGCAAGTTTGAAAATAAGGGAAAAGAATATAAAACTAGTAAAGATCGAATTAGACAAAAAGATGAAGGACAAGAAGGGCAAAAATGACCGAATGAAAAGATAAGATGAGAAAGGGAAGGAATCAAAGTAACAGAACAGAAGAATGACTACTTGTAATTTTAACCCACCTTGCTGTACTCATGGAAGCCACAAAGGTCCATTTATTTGTCTCAGGGTCGTATCTCTCAACTGATTTCAAGTTAGTACCATCTGATCCCCCTACAGCATAAATATGGTTGTCTAATATGGCACAACCAACACCAAATCGGCACTGGTTCATACGAGCGATTTCTGTCCATCGACCGGTCTTGGGGTCGTAATACTCAGCTGTGTTCAGTGGCATTGATCCATCAAATCCACCTAGAAAACAGATGTATTGAAATCGTAAGTTGCTTTCCTTATAGACCACTTCCTGTTCGTGGGAAAGCAACTTCAAATGGAGGACAAAACAATGGATTCTAGTTCCCAAAATACCTTTGTTTTCTCCTACATATGAAGCTGCCTTGACGTCATGATACAAGAGGTCTATTTCTAAAATATTTAGGATACTACGCGCGCTGTGATTGGTCGAAAACCATGTTTGATTACAGTTTCTAAAATATTTAGGATACTACGCGCGCTGTGATTGGTCGAAAACCATGTTTGATTACAGTATCAAAACACGCTCGCGCGCGTCAAAAATTTCTTTTTTTCTTTTAATTTTAGAAAAGAAATAAAAGACGAACTTCCGTGTACGCGTCGTGGTTTCCTACGCTTCTCTCGTGCTCTCCCTACATCCCGCGTGTTTTGATCAGAGTATCAAACACGGAATTTCGTCTTTTATTCCTTAAATAATAATTTTATCTTTGTTTTACGTGTTCATTCGTTTCAGTATTCGTCCGTTCAATAAATCGTTTCCTCTGTTTATATATTTATTTTTGGTGGGGCTCCTTCTTAAATCCATGTTTTAACGACTTTATACTAATTGACTTATGTATTTATTTATTCACATTTCATTTCTTCTTCATTTCATTCTTCAACTATCCATTGATCCATACTATTTCTTATTGTATTCAACGTCCTGTTTACRTGAGATAGGGTCCCCCTTTGCAAGTAGAGCCAAACTCTTTTGTTTTCATTTCTCGGGAGGCGACCCATATCTCATGTAAACAGCGCCTTATTCTTATTTCCCTCAATGAGTAATTAATTTTCCCATTCATTWATTTMTTTATTTATCATTCATCATTTTCATTCAGAAGTTCATTAAAAGCACAGGAACTTACCTATGGCATATATTCTTCCATTGCCTGATGCCACGCCTACTCCATTACGACTCGTTGCCATAGGAACAGAAGGTACCCATAAATTAGCGAATGGATCAAATCGTTCAACTGTCTCGAGTCGGGAAGCGTCGTCACTACCTCCACATATGTAYAAATATGGTCCTAAAGCGCCRACTGCGGCACCCCATCGACAGATACTCATATCACCTGTAAGCAAGAATAAAATTGATAAATTATCTTTGTACCCACATCCTATTCAGTTTCTCAACAAAAAGTCACAAGGAAATGAATGACTTCACAAATGARCAGACAAACGAACGAAGAAAGGAAGGAAGGATGGACGGACGGACGAACACATAGGGCAAATGAATGAATGAGTTTCTCACCAATAGGTTTCCATTTTCCTTCCTTGGGGTCATATTTTTCACCACTTTTACTGGCCTCYCGTCGGCTCATCCCTCCTATGGCATACATGACRTGATTGACAGATATCGGACGTCTTGGTTGWATGCGTTCTGTTTGGATTTGAGACTTGCGTCGCGGTAAAAGGAGACAAGCAGTTGCTTCAAATAGTAGGTCACTATGGAGACAACAAGGATACTGACATTCTCATCCATCTATAGATTACTCTAATAGCGGACGAGTCGGTCACAGTTTTTCAAAAGGCTACTGACTGAACCCCCCAAATTCACCCAATAACCTTTGTCGATTCTTTCAAACCAATCAGAAAGCACCTTCCACAAGAGATTATTTGTAAAACAAAAGAAAGAGGTTCTTGGATTCATATACTGTATGCATTTAAAATATACTTTCGTCAAACCACATCTAATTGCAAAATCTATCTCGTACTACAGTAACAAGTACATGTAAGGTAAATAGGTGACMTTCGTTTTTCTTTTCACAATAAATTATATTTTACTTATTAGACCATTAACAGTAAAGACAAGTAGTTCTGTATGTTGAAACGTTTATGATTTAATAGTTGATTTACATTGTTTTGAAAGTTCTCTAAGCAAACGTTTGTAAACAGCTTGGGCTGTCTGCACATATACACAGGAATCCCACAATCTATATGAYAGATGAATAGACTAAGTCGGCCACCTCACCGAACTAAAGAGTTCACATAGTGTCTAAGTCTTATTGCAATATAAACATGAATGCCTGTTCTTCTTTAATTTTTTTTTTTAATTGTGATTAAGTTGAAATATGATATACCTGCATAGTCTATTGTTTCTTATCAATTCTTCAGATGCTACTCTATCCATTAGAAACTCAGCAGACAACAATGGGAATCGTACATGTTTCAACACTTCAGCAGCATATTCCTAACAACAATAAAATACAAAGAAATGAAGAAAAGCTGACTTCTGAATTTTGCATCTGTAGTCACACACAAAGGAATCAAGACAAGATGGCATGCGTATAGCTTAGTCATTCACAAAAAAGTAAATATTTTTTTTACAATTGACTGAGCTTTATGCACAACACCTTCTCTTGATTCTTTTGTGTTTGTATACAGAGGTGAAATTTGCAAATCAGCTACATGTCCCCCTTCCACCCATCTTCCACCCATCTTCTCCTCCTTTGATATAATGGACATGTATACTGAAATTTTAAGAGCTTTTAAGTAAGGGATTATACTGTATGCTGGTACAGGCAGCTTTCACCTCAATATTACAGACAGAAAATACTGAATCCCAGTGAAAAACTACAAAGAAATGACTRAAAGTAACTTCCAATATTACAATTAATTATTGTCCTGAGGGTGTCCATAAAAGCGAGAGTTGACTGTAYTGATATGGCGCCATATTAAACCCAATAGTGTACAAAACATGCTAACCTYAATKGTAGATCACTGGTTTAGTAGTTACACCATAACAAATAAATATCAGCTCTACATGACTACTATTTTTGCAGTCAGGGGGTGTTTGCTGGACCAATGGACGCCCCTGAACCCACCCCTGCACTTCACTACTAACCTGCCTTCCATCTGTATCATATTTCACCCAAGCCATGACCGCCTCAAAGACTCTTTCTTCTGAATGAACACTGAGTTCATCCTCTTTTACTAATCTTGCCAGCTGTCTGAAGGACATCTCCATGAACTCCTCACCTTGGACTACTTCGATAAARTGATTTCTGGCATATTCTTCTGACTTGGCCAAAAGATCATTACATGAATGGGCATCAGCTAGTGCACATATACCTATCACACATAACAAGATTATTCAATTTTCAACTTCTATACGAAGTCTATTACACAAAGTAATTAAATTACTTGTCACTGAAAGTATTTGATTTTCTCTTCCTTTGAATAAATCTATTTGATTTTTAATTGCTGAAAATCTGAGCATTCAGACACCAGTAACTTCAAATGAAAATGAAAATTTAGTTAATGAAAATTCACACTTATACCTGACAGTACTTTCAGCTGTTACCAAATGTATGTTATAGTACATAATATAAAATTTTGCAAAAAGTCAATTATTCCCACAATAACAWTGAAGTTATCATGTCAATCAATTCATCACCGAAATCTTTCTTTGAATTCCCTGATTCATAAAATCTGCAGTGTCTCTTTTGCTTACCAATACAGTTCTCAGGACTAAGYTGTCTTTTAAGGAACTCRCAGCAAGCTTTCTGGACTGACTGGACTTGTAGTAAGCAGGCTATGTGTAAAATATCTTGTACATTTTGTTCAGTGATTTCTATTTTGCCTGAGTAGAAGAAATCTACCATTGATTCCATGGCTGAATCATCCAACTCTTGTAGAGTTACTGTACTTTGACGGCTTTCCAGCAAACCACCTAAAATATCATAGACAGCGTTAGTAAACATGTAAAATGCAACATAAAAAAAACAGTAAAAAGTATATATTATGCTAACAGTCTCCTTCACGGTTAGGTGCGCCATCTTGAAAAGTAGCCGTGCCTTTGCATCAAAGTAAGACAACCATTGAGCGTGCAATGATAGAAACTTTCTTTCACACTTACAAACAATTATTCACAGGTATCTATCATTGCACGCTCAATGGTTGTCTCAATGTAAAGGCAAGGCTAACCTTCCTAGATGGCGCACAGAACCTTGAAGAGTCTATTTCTCCTTTTTCAAAATACAATGTAAAAAAGTTATCTTAATAAACTTTTTATTTTGCACCAAGTTTACACAGTTGAAGTGCCCTCCAGTTTCACTGATTAAAAGTGTTCAAATGAGAGAGGGAATCTGGTGAGTGTGCTGTGCACAATGAAAATACACTGAGTAAGGTTGATAACAAATACAAGTACTAATTGTAACTTGTTTGAATTCACTGAATAAATGATTCAAACTTGAGAGTATTTGGTTAGCTAAATAGCATCTGAATGACACAATCACATTAATCAACCAATAAAATAAAATGTATGCATTAAATGCTTAGAATATATCTACTGTACTTAATTATTTAAGGGGCATGGTCAATAAATAGTATCTGTATCAGTATCTGGCTGCATTTGTTATATTACTTGTATAAAACTCTACAATATAATATACAGTGCTCGAAATAACAGCCAGTCAAAGGACAATGTCCTTCCAAATTTGCTAGATGAAAATCAGGTTTTCAAAGGACAAATTGACCTGCCACATTTTTAGACAAATAAATTCTCAATTCGCTAAATAAATATTTTACAATCCATTAAAATGCTTGCCAACCTTTCTGAATACAAAAACAAAATAAATTAAGAGAAAATAATAGTATAATAAAGTTTTTGTTCTTTCAAAACTTGACATAACCTTCCTGCATATGTCTGGCCATTATTTCGAGCCCTGATACAATAATAATTTAATGAGATATTTACATGTATATAACGCTAATATCCACAAGTTCATATGCCCTTTATAATGCAAAGATTTAAAAAACAATAAAACTTAAAAATAAGTTGTTTTATCAATTTTTATTATTATTACCTGTAAACATTGCTCTGAAGTATGGACTACAAGATGCTAAAACYACTTTATGTGTTGTTATACTACTATTTCCTACAACCAGAACCATGTCACAAAACTCCTCATGCTGACGAAGATTAGATAAGTTACCAAGGAATGCTTTACTATGGGCTATGTCCGAAAATAGGTAAGGGTGGCCATCTGGAGGTGATTTTGATCTTGGAGAACTTTTGGCTAAGTCTAGTGGCRGAGTCTGCATTGCTGTAGCCTTTACCTGGAGAATTGAAAAAAAATACATGTAGTATCAATACCTAACACTATTACATACAAGATATGGGGTCAGTACATTGTATAAAGTTGCRAATACATACAATATTGCTGACTAATGGATAAAATCTTTATCTAGAAGAATAAAATCCATAAAAAATCTATGAAGCGGATAACTTATCCCATTTGTCCAACCATCTTGAGTTGGAAAGTGAAAGTGTTCAAAGATAGAGCATCAACCTATATCATATAATATTTCATGTTTCAATGCTTTCAATACATGATCTTTTGAACTGAAATTTACTAAAAATACATGTACTAMCTGTGATTTGAAAAGGTCACTAATAACATTAAGCTTCTGGTATCAACTAACCATACAATGATACTTCTGTTATGTCTACTTGTATTCAATCAACCCCTAAAAACATATTTTATGTCGGGATATTTTTAAATCCACTTGAAAACTTGCCTAAACACTAATTTGTATTTAATAATATCCCAAATGTATCTGCATAATTGCTTATAACAATTACTATTATAAATAGATGTTTATATATCTATTTATAGGCTACTAGAACAAAAAATACTTCTGAAATGCATAATTGACAGAGTATTTTTATCCATTGTTAAAAGATTATTCTACTAAACCAGTTAGAATGTTGTACAGCTTTATTTTTTGGAAATGTTTTTGTTTTTGTCTAATATGGCTACAGAATGCTCTTGTATGAAATTATTTAGACTAGCAAGAAATATATATAAAAAAATCACTAATGCCTGTTTTATATTCACAAAATAATTTCTGGCTATTCAATGGCAATACTAGCACTCAAATCTTTTGCAATCGGATTTGAATTCAGCAAAAGTTAGTATACATATTGAAAAATTCAGGCTTTTGAAACAATCMTTGAKCATTGAAAGAATCATTGAGCAAACAACATATTTTGCTATCCAAACAGTTATCATAAAGCCATTAAGTAAATTAATGACAGCTGTCAATCCAAATTTGTAAACAACAATAAATCCATAGACCATGACCTAAAATATTGGTCCTTTGAATTCCAAATGAATTCACAAAGAGTTAGCGCAAAAGCAACCACAAAAGAATTAAAGAAAGCGACATAATGGATTTTCATTGGCAACGTAAGTTAAGCTTTTTTTTGTAGACAAATTAGCGCTTAGCTCATCAATTTTTCAGACTATTTACATATCGAGTAAATTTTGTAAAGAGAGACAGAATAAAGCAAAATAATAAKCTCTYCTTGATATTAAAATGTAAASCATTAGCTTGGTCGACAAATACACACACAGGTTAAGTAAGTTACATGAAGGCTGACTGCAGRGKSTGATTGTCGTTCCGAAGTTTTTCTGCGGTGAAGTTGATCTTCYCTTTAGACCACCTACGATGCCTCAACTTGCGTGTTTTTGTTACTCTAGCGTCCTTTATAACAAGATCATAGTGATCATGGTATAAGGCTGTAGGCAGACTATGGCAAAGAGTAGATATTGTGATCTTTGTGATAATGACTGGCTAACAAACTCGATGATAAACGACTAAAGTTCATCTACATGTACAGTTGGTGTCAGAGGAAATTTAGGGGCAACTTCGCTACCTTAACTCACTTATACTTTCGTTGTAATATGGTTTACATTTCAAAGGGATTATACCTAACATTTCTATGAATAAACGTTAGAAAAACAGACAAGAAATTAAGAAATTACTCAGCAAACATAAGCTTAATTAAAGAAAACTGCAACGAGCAACCGAAGAACTACGAATCAAACACCTTGATCTAGAGCAGATTCCACGGATTTCCCTTCATATTCAACACAAGACTTACCTACCAAAACCGATTGTCTTTAAATCATTGAGAAAGGAGATTTCTGATGAAGAAAATAGTCCAAAATTCGTCAAAACTACACTTTCAGTCAGTCCTTCGCGGGAGTTGTGATTACAACTGGTGTGACGTCACTTGGAAGAGGTTCCATATTAGGCATTGTACAGGAAATGGCTTCACTGTGGGAGGGACTATTGTCATTCCGTTTCCGGTGTAAAGGAAATAATAACGTCTTGTGATTATATTTTTATCGTAATTKTTATTTTCCTGCACGCTGTACAAACAAATTTCTAAATCCTTTGTTTTCTCGTTGGATTTCTAAGTCTCTCTATATCATACAGATTAAAATGAAAGTAAGCTATCAAGATATTTTGATTATCATACAATTTGACGACTACACCCAAAGATTGAAAAACAGGAAACTTTCCATCCCAAAATAGATGATCATGTGAATGAGCCCATTCTAAATACAGGATACTCTGAGTATCTTCTATGTTCTTGCTTTTTGTTTGTTTTTTTATTTATTGCTTTTTTATTTTTTATTGCTTTTTTTTCGCTTTTGTTTGCTTTTTAGATTTTTTTTATTTTATAAGTGCAATGCACTCTGGTAGTTTTTACACCACATAATTCATTATGTGTTGATGCAAAATAGGATCATCACTTGTCCATTGGAGCATAGGACACCCATTGTTTTAGACTAGACTATTCTATCTCGATGGGATGCTGTGATGTCAAAGTGTTAAAAGCCCATTATTTTTTAATAATTGCAATGTACATCAACAGAACAATTTTCTCTACCACACAAGATAAGGAACCTCTTCAGCACAGCTTCCTGTGGTAGTCTGTGTAGCCGCCCTAAAGGGATTGGGGAAGGCCGAGCGGAAAATGGGGAGAAGAAGAAGGAAGGGCCTGCAGAAGAGAATCCCACAGTTTTACAAAATTTACAGTGGAATACAGACATAAATTTCCCATTGGTCGACAGGAACAAGCTGTCAATCAAATGTCAAAGTGATAGCTACCAGATCAAGTTGGCACATTTACCAACATGGTAGGCGATGCAGGATTTCGTAATCAGTTAGAGCTTGCTTTAAGTGATTTAAAAGAAAAAGGTGTCGATATAATACTCAAAGAAAAACAGAGACAAGCTTTAGTGAAATCATACTTTTAAAATAGGAAACCCTGACTACATCAAAGTTCACTGTAATCAATGTCATTYATAAAAATGTTTATTATCTCATTTAATATATTCCATTGGTACTATATTAATAACGTAGAATCATTCTAAACTGTGTGCGCTTTCCATTTGTCAGAACTGGCTGGCCAGACCCAGAGAAAATGTCATTATATATCATTCCCATTTAGTTAGGAAATTCAAATTTTCAAATTCTATCCATTATTCTACAGAAAACCTCGAAATGACTGAAAAATGTTGACAAAAAGCATTATATACCTCTAAATAGAGTGGAYTGGCCGGCCAGTTCTCCCTAAATGGAAAGCACCCTGTGACAGTATTATAGTATACAAAACTAAAGGAAATTTAGAGTTTCTAGCAACAGTGAGGACTTTATATTTTGCAATGTTTACACTAAATTGCACATCAATATACTGTAATCATTTTATATTAGTGATTCTGGATTAATTTAAATATCAAATGTACAGATTTGTTATGTTTTAATGGATCATWATATATAATAATATAGACTTTTCTTACGACATCATTCATATCTCTATATATACAATTTGTTTCATCTTAAATTATTGATCTTTTTAGGCCTCCTCTGCAGCCATCTCTCACTCTTTCTGGAAGTCTGTCRCCAAAGGAATCCCACACTTTTGAAGACAATAACAGCTGCAGAGGAGACCTATCTTTTTAACAGCTGAATGTCTTTTTAGAATTCAAACAAGCTTCAAAATATCAATATTATTTAAATAAAATCTGTCTTTTCTTCATTCTAGATTATGATGATGAAAAATGAACGGTATTTATCGCATAYAATTTTTAACAATTTGTCATGGAAATACCAGGAATGCCAGCATATACGTCATGGGAAGGARGAACGAACAATGAAAGATTATATATGGGTTCCCAAGAATGGGAATGACTGTTGAATAGCCCTATCTTTTGTCCAGTTGACCAGAAAACACACTGTCTGTCAGTTGAAAATATCAATTGAAAACTGACCAGCCATTTAACAGTCAGTCAATAAGAAATGAATCCCCAATGAAGAAAGATTCAATGAATAATCATACAAACATGAACCCCTCAAAACAAATACTTAGCAGAAAATAATTATTAATCCTTGAAGTTAGATCTCAGAGCCATGTTGTTCAAAGATCGATTAGCGCTAATCCTAGGTTAAGGAGGTCCTTTTTGAAAACCATTTTTTTTTGTAAATGAAAAAGTTTCCTCAATAAAGATKATTATYATAGTCTTARAWAACCTATGGAGTTAACCCTGGATTAACCCTAATCAACCTTTGAACAACCTGACCCAKCAGGACACTGGCAAACCTGGTGATAAACAACTTTATGAGAAGGTATGTGAATGCCTAGYGCATCAATTGAAAACTTCAACAAAATGAAAATTGACTGTATCAAAATAGTGCTCTTACAAACTTATTATGTGCATGAAAATATTTATCCACTATGACAATCAATGATTTTCRGTTGTACACAAAAATAGACATTTCCATTGTAAAATTCTAGGCCTGRTCTTTTGATTTGGTGCGATTTCCAAGTAAGAATGAAAACAATCTKGGAGAAGACATTCTTTTTTTCACTTTAGGGTTATCACGGGTTTCCTTAAACCCATCCAGTTTTTCTTTTCTCATCTCCCGTTCCATTTCTTGCCGATAAGAAGTTTCAGCATTGATAACAGAGTAGCTGCCAGAGCGATCAAAATGAAGAGTTTTCAAGTTTTTACATGTTGTTGTGGTAGGGTCGTCRTCTTCATCCTCTGGTAACGAAGGATCACGGCGTAGACTGGAACTACGTGATGAAAACTCGCTGTTTGTAAACACTGACGAGCTCTCGGCAGTTGATGAAGTGTCATTCATTGAATCAAATCCTGACGATACAGAGGTTAAATCYGACTGAGCACTTTGTGATGCGCTACCTCGACTGTGAATAATAGTTGGAAAATCAGTTTCATCTTTACAAGATTCTAGTGATGTACAAACAGTTGGRGCAATTGTATGCCTTCGTACATCAGCATKACTGTGTCTGAAAGAACGAAGAACAGTTCCTGGTGTACCTGGACATGATTGCGATAAAAACGAYGATGAATCCAATGGWGCTACWAGATTTTCAGTTTCGCTGTGGTTCAAAATGGACRTATTTTCTKGTGGAAGGGGTGAAACAGCTCTTGTTACTACAGATGACGAATGGCTAYGTTTCTTCATGGATTTAAATGAGTGATCTTTGGCTCTTACACCCAGAACGTTTTTGAAAAAYCCCATTAACTTTGCWGGGGTGTGTTTGAGCAAATCATCAGTTGCAGAGTGAAAATGTTTATATCTTCCAGAAATCCATGACAAACGGCGTTTATTCTCGCTGTTAGATCTATGTCGGTGTGAGCTGTCTTTRCTTGTAGGSGTCAATAGATGACTGCTGCTGCAAATACTTGTGGTGGAGCAAATGCTATTGTTATTATTCAAAGTATTTTCAATTGGATTGTCAACATGTGAATTGACTATGTTTTTCACTATTAAGTTTTCACAAGAAAGCTCTGGTCGTCTAGGAAATGCTAACAGAATTGCTTCAAGRTGTTTCACTGTGGCTGAAAATGATGGACGGCTTCGTGGATCCATCTGGCARCAACAAACAGCGGTATGGAGGAACTCAATTGGACAATCACTGACCATGGTTTGGAACTTTTCCACATCAAGACCAAAAGACTAAAGTAAAGAGAAAAAAAAATATATTTAATAAAGTATCATTGTCAAATTACTATTATTGAACACATAGAAAGGAGAAGTTAATGTGGGATAGCTTGGAAATTTCACATCTCAAGATGCAAATTAACTGATATAATAACCAGCAGAAAAAAATTGACCAATGCGAGATTCAGCATATAAAAGGTTCTTGAATGAGAATGGCAAGAATATTTTCATGAAGAATTCTTTAAGTTGTCAAAAGCAAGTAAACACATTTGTGACAAATACAGTAGCATCAGAATATCTGGTAAATTAAAATTAAACATTGATAGTTATCACAGATATGTGCACTTTTCCTTCTGACAACATTTAGTATTTTGACACTGAAATATCAGACTTTGGATGTCTCACTCAAATGGTATTGCAACACAAGGTGCTAAATAATAATTCCACAGTGAATTAAAGTAGTAAAGCGTCAGGCAGAATGTTTTATCTTTAATATACTTTATGCAATATATTTTATATTGTGTTCATAGTCTCCTCCGAAGGCAATCTTTGACTGTTTTCTATCTTCTTGTACATTGTACTTTGACTGTGGGGGAGGATTACCCCACACTCTTTCTAATAATCAAAAAAAATGAAACCCAAAAAGTTGCCTGCAGAGGTGACTGTATTGTAWGTACCCCTGTCCTTGGAAGCTCATCAGGATCTGCCTGGACACGTCCAATAATTTCACACATGATGATACCATAGGAGAACACATCAGCCTGATAACAAAGAACAACATTGTCCAATAAGATAGAATATTAACCACAAAATAACTAGAATAATCCAAGGATAAAGCTCTCAAAGATTAAACAGAAGGAAAAAAATATAATTTGTACAAAATAATCAAGTTTTTTACAAACAGTATAAACCCGAAATTGTAAAAAATTGCTGCCATAAAAAATTTGTAGTAAAAATAAATATATTGAAAAAGGCAAAAGAAAGCATTCAGCCCAATTGATCTTCAAGTTTTTTTTCAATAAAATCCCTTTTTACTAAAAGTACAACAAAGGTCTATTTATAATTTCTCTATAGTAGCATTTTTGCAATAGCTACAATCTAATTATTAGCTGTAACTTAGAAAAATTACAAACATTACAAAACTTTTGTCACTTTCTCACTACCTCTTTTGTTCACTCTTACATAGAGCTACACTTTTTTAACAGACAGTGTTTCCTTTTTTTTTTTCGTTACTTTAGAGAACAATTTACTAAAAAAACCCTTACATATCTATATTTATCTTTATAATAAAAGGTRATAGAGAAGCATGTTTACAAAAGGAAGCAGCAATCCAATGCCCACTCAATTGTCTCCAAGAACACCTGTTTCCTAAAAGCCCTTATTATAGCCCAGTTACTATTTTTACAACATGTGTTTACGTCTCTCTTACCTTGTTATCATATCTTTCTCCTCTAAGAAGCTCAGGTGCCATGTTATATGGCGAACCAACTGCATGTTGCACGCCCTCGCTGTAGAATAATAGTAAATAACAAGATAATTATGTTGTATTCTAGCAGTAAAATTGACTAAGAGTATTCTAACTGCACTTAAGCATTGCATAAGAACYATCTTGATATAATGGGCTAAGAATTTGTTATATGCGGTCTTGAGATATGATCTCAACATAATTGTCTTTTATACCTCATAACTTTTTTTTAGCTTTTGGTTAGTTTAATGGAAAGGGTTTGCATTAGGCTTAAAGTATTTTSAGATTACATTACTTGAATCACCAGATATCACAAATTCACAATAATGACTGAATAAAGGAGCTAATATTCAGCAGTAACATAAAATGAGTTCACATCATATCCAAAGTGAAAAAATATTTATGTCAATTATAAATGAAAAAGATTAATGTATTTTATTTTCTATATTAATATTATCTATTTTGAATTTCAATTTGCCATATTGCATTAAATTTCTTGATGGTGTGGTCAGACAGCCACAAAATGTTATAAACCATGTTTCCAATAGCTCTTTTGCTCTCAAAATTAATGGATAAATAAAGACATAAGAGTAATTTTGTATTTTTTCTCTACAAAAGATTCATTTCAGTTCTTTCCATTAAACTCACTATTAATTTTATCACCCAAACACACATGCTGATTTTTGCAATTATTTTAATAAAAAAAATATGACAGCATGATTTATAATRTTAATAAAGATATTGTAATATAAGAAAGTTGACATATTAGAATAAAAAAATCCAAAAAGAAATCTACAAACAGAAATAATACTATAAATACAAAAGTTAAACTTCTAGCCTTTTAGTATTTCAATACAATAATTTGTATAAATTTGTAAAAATGTTGTTTTTTTTTTCAAATGTTTCCTACATTTATTAAAGAAAGAAAGAAAAGATAGAAATAAGAGAAATCAAGAAAGATCGAAATAACAAGAACTAAAATCAACAATAATACCTTCTGTACTAACTAATTAGTATAACAAAAGATTGCGCAAATTGTATTAATTTCAAACCCCAAAAATGTACTAATTTGCTCAATTTTGTACTGCCCAAACTATTTCACAGAYGTTGTATAGTGCCATAAATATCACTTAAAATAAATACAGTACAGTTTTCCTATTTATATATTTGGTATTTTTCTCATTATTTTTATTATTATTTATTGTCCTCTGCAGAGCCAACACATTAATTTGAAACAKCAATAATTGTAATTTCTATGTGCATCTTCCATTTGAAAAGTCAAGCTGGGTGAAATATTAGGACTCATCAAACACTGTAATGTTCTGTGAAACTGTTAACATGGGTCTCCAACTTTTATTTATTATAGTCTCATGAAAGTGTAAATATTCTCCTATTTGGTATGCATAGTCGCACAAGGTCCAATATCAAGACTTTGTAGAAACCACAACTTGAAATAACTATAATTGACAATTGCACAACATGGATAATAAACATTATATTTATCACCTATAGGTCAATGTTAGATTGAGTTTGGGAAACTTTACCAACACCAGCTTCCATTTCACTTTTATAAATATTTTATTACGACCAAAATGGTCTTGAACCAATATTGCACAACTATTTTGGATACAGCTTAATAATTTTTCGTATTTAATTAAAAGATTTTGGTAAAAAAAAAGAGAATTTTCATGCTTTTAGATCCTTGATGTCACTAGAAGCTTTGGCAATCGAGAAATTATTGCTAGCTGCATACAGCCAAAATACACAATAAATATAGATTCATATTGGCATGAATRACCACAATAATTGGAGGTGACAAATTAGTAAAGAGGTTTTTCACAAACTTTCCATTTTAGTATAAATTGGAAAATGTATTTTGCGATTGTTTCAATCTTTCATGATTWCACGAAAGAGCTAGAAATGAAAATACAGAATTTTGGCATAATTTGTGAATTWWTCGCCGTAAAATGTAAACAATTGTTTGTCAACATTACTGAAAAAAACTTTGTAAATGAAATTTCGAGTTGTTTTTTTAATATAAATAAAATGGGAGAATTTCACACTTTACCTTCAAAATGAACTAAAATAGAAGATTGAAATTCAAAAAATAAACGTAAAAAAAGAAGAGAAAAATAAAATCTACTTTCATTTATTTTCAAAAGAAAGCAACCTTTACCTTTGAAAAACAGTTCTAAAGATTAAAAAGTGTCTTCAAAACTGTACTTTGGAAAGTTCGCATTTCAGTGCAGTTTTACAAGTCGTGAATATTTAATGAAAACCTGAGACACTGTAACGTGTAGGAATGATATAGATATATMATTAAATTCCCAATTCCTATGGCTATGTTTAGCCCTAGAAACAACCAAACATGATAAAATTTTGATCCTCTAATCCCTGAGTTGTAAGGCAAAAATTCCGACATCTTTGCAAATACGTTTTTACAAGCGAAGACAAAAGCTTTTTCGTTTTTGGTTATCCTTGTATTGTACGGTTGGCTGGGATTGAACACGGTTGAATGGAGCTATCATAACAATCTCTGCAGGCAGTCCGATTTTTTTTACGTGACTTGAGAAGATCATTTTTGTCCAAAAACGCGTACAATTGMTTMTTTGTTTTCTAGAAAGGATTATTTTTAAGATTTTAGGATAGTATTAGATCTTACTCGTTATCTGGAACATGTGTCGCCAAGCCGAGATCTGCAACGATTCCATATTTCGCACCTTTAACATCTTTGATCAAACAATTCTAGGACAGAACAGTCAAATTTAAATCCTTGATACACAMAAATATCCCTTGAGATGAATTTTACAGTCATTGTTAGTAAACAAGTTATTTAGTAATGTTATGTGCATACCTTTGAGGCTAGATCTCTGTGGATGATTCGGTTTTGATGGAGATAGCTCATGCCATTCGCGATGTCTTTTGCAAGATGAACTCGAGTTCCCCAATCTAGGGCCTCATCGTGGTTCATCAACAACTGTTCCAGGTTTCCGCCATTAAYGTACTTCAGCAAAATGAAAGGAAATCATMASAAGGTTGTCAAAACTTGCGCAAACTCGTGCAATTTGTCAGGAACAATATCGACCACACAAAAACAATAACACTATCTGAAAAACTGCAGTTTGCAACAAGGAACAAAGATAAATCTTTCTATATATACCTCTATCAGCAGATGAACTCGATTATCTCTRTCATCAATACATAGGCCTAAAAACCTGATGAGAGACGAAATCAATAATCACGTCTTGAATTTCTGTTTCAGTTGACTTGGTCAGGTTCCATTTCAACAAACCTACCTGACAACATTCGCATGGTTGATGTGACTCAAAATCTCAACTTCGTTCATCAAACTGTTTTCACGAAAGCAATCATCGTCAAAACCATGTCTATCCTTCTTTAAAACCATAGTTTGATCTGTTTTCCTGTGACGAGCCTGTCGAGATCAGAGAACGCAGGTTTACAAAACCGCCATTTTGTGTTTTAGAGATTATTTGCAGCGGAATTTCACAACGAAACGCCGCCTGAATAAATACAATATTTAATACAGTGAAACCAATAATTGAGTTCTAAAATACACCATTTGTACCTTAAAAATTTCTCCAAAGAATCCATTAGCAAGAAATGACAGTTCTAACTCGTCAAGGGTATAAACTAAAGACTTGTCGATCTGAAATGGCAAGCTTTGCAAAACACTTGCTTGCATTTCGTCTGTGGTCGGTGTTCTGACTCCAACTTGATGAGAGTGCCCAAAAGACACTTTCTCGGAATCAAGGCCTTCCATGAAGACAACCATATGTGATTTCTCATTCAGAAACTCGGTAAAATACTCATCTCGAMAACCAAGATCATGTTTAAACTACAACTTGTACAACACTGACCGGAAGAGCTCTGGCAAGGTTAASACAAGCATGATGGGATACCACTGCGATACTGCCATGTGATTGGCTGAAAATAACCCTTCGTGACCCACAGTTCRCTTAAYACGTCACGCTATCTTTACGCTTCGATAATTTTCCCACACTTTTATATTGGAAAAATACATACAAATCAATTAAATAATTAAAGAATAGTATTGATATTGAAGTCCATAAGCTTTTTCTAAGTATTTGAATAAAAATCATATCCAACTATRCTATTCATTCAGTACTTTGAAAGAGATTTTCTTTCAGTTTTGTGTTCTAAAATAGATCCAATTACGTACAAAAATCTGCCGGAAATAAATATCAAAGTCTTCAAAACACATATTTCTTTGGTTTAAAATATAYTCTAAGCTTCAGCTAATAGAAATAGAAATTTTACTCATAACCACGTCTGCTATATCAACTACTGTCAAAAAATTCTCACGACTGAAACAATAGACGCGTCGGCATTTGACCCTAAAATTTATGGCGGTTGCATTTATCGCTTTTGTTCGATCTTTTAGGTTTTGTAACTAAACACAATTCTTTCCAAACGTTGCCTGTTATTGTAGAAAACACAAAGGAAAGTTTTATTTCTTTTGTTGCGTTCTCTCTTTGCCCGGTTTTTTCCCGCTTGATTGCGCAACATTGACGTCACTTGGATACCCCCCATTCATTTCCAATCATCCATTTTTCAATTGAATCAGTCGGACCATATGATTAGGCAGAAAGTAGAAATAGTGCCACTCAATTTTAATATTAGGTCTCAGTGGGTCCACGCATATTGCCATGGAAATTACCAGTTGACTTATATAAAAGTGACCACGTTGAATAATAGGAAATGCTGGGCTTTTGTCTCTAATAAAACAATACAGTGATTTTCAAACTGAATTTTTACCTTCGCATGAAGATTTGGTCTAGTATTAATAAAAGACGAAACAATTACTTAAAAATGATCTTGACTTTTATTCTGTTAAGGGAAAATCGTTCAGAACACTTTATCAAGAATGAGAGAAACATCAGGAACTGTGATCAGTAAAATWTCACCAAAACTTRCAAAAGTTGCTATCGATCATTCTCGACATTCGGTAATCCTCCGCGGGCGAGAGCCCAGGTTTGATCTTCGCTCGCTCGTTCTGGGAATGTAATTTTGCCTTTGTTCCCGAAGATAGAACAGTAAGAACGCTGGACAATAATAATAAAGTATAAGTATAAGTATTCAGCAAAAACATTTTTTTCATTGTGAAAAGATTTATGAAAGTAGACGCTTAAAGAGAGCTTACACGGGCCTCCCGCGGCAACTTTACKATTTCTTTCAACGAAAAAAAGTTATTAGAKAATTGAATAGAGCGAAAGTGATATGGATTTCTTGGGGTCGACTGAAWGTTTGGCACTATCAAATTACTATATTGGCGTCCAGTGAAGAWATSAAGAAATATCTTCACATGGCATTTCTTCGGAAYTTTTAWTTTTTTWAAAMCSYGYKMTA